TTAAAAATTAAAAAATATCCTTTTTCATTAAAGTACATGGTAATTTTCCCTTTTATTAAAAAGAAACTACAGTCTTATATATATTTGTGTTTTGAAATTTGTAGGTCCACAGGAAGCTGAGAAAAAACATACAGAATCAAAAAAAAAATTTACTGCTCTTGAGACAGAACAAAAAGAGGTAGAATGTGTTTCTTTTGCTTTTTTCTGGTTGATATACTGGTACATGTATATGTTTCTGGTTGATATACAGGTATATGTATAACTGTTTGTTTCTGGTTAATATACTGGTACATGTATAACTGTTTGTTTCTGGTTGATATACCGGTATATGTATAACTGTTTGTTTCTGGTTGATATACCGGTATATATAATATAACAAACAATCATGGTTTAAAAATAACTAATGTTTGTATTGTAAACCAGTATTATTGTCACGGTTTAGGCCGTGAGGTAAAAACCTTTGGTAGTGTGGTCTCTCAGTAGAGGTTTATTTACGTAGTCTGTAAAGGGAGTTGATTGGTTCCACACAGTTTACTTCTATATATAAGTGATTACTATTTTATATCTACTTTGCTCACCTATAATTTTAACGGAACACTAGCTCTACATAGATAAATAAATTATCTATAACATTTAAACACGTTTATTCCAGTAGTATATTGCAAGTTTATTTTGTTGATAAAACAAAGTTACAATAACAAAATAATAAATTGTCAACAAATGAGCACAATTGTATTTTTATCATTCAGCAACAGATTCTATACGATAATGTATTAATAAGTAAAAGTTTGTAGTAGAAATCATCAGAGTTTCAAGTCCTATTAATGTTAAAACCGTTTTCTAAATTATGTCTCCCTTAATTTAATTTATCTTAATGTCTAACGCGTGTACCTTCTTTAATAGTCAACACGGAAAAATAGCATACCAGTGAACCGTGACCAAATTTAACAAGCAGTTAAATAATCTATTTCAAACAGTAAAGTGTTAATAAAAAACGTGTAATAAAGATTAAATATCTAGAAAATAGCTCAGAACTGTTTAATCTGAATAAATAAATCGTTATTTATCAAGAATAGTTTAATTACTTTAGTACGTAAAATTGCAGACTGCACTTATAAATTTTTCCGCTCAAATTTGTATCTCAACAAAACGGGGTTTTGCCTCTGAAGTTCTGGTCAAGACTCCCCTGTTCAACCAAAAATCCGGGCCCTTTTATACCCAGACAAATTCCAACCAAAATAAAGTGGTTGAAGTGGTTGGTTTACTAAAGTGGTTGTGGTTGGAGCCAAAAAGTGGTTGGTCCGACCAAGAAATATTGGTTGATTTACCAAAACGGTTAGAAATTTAAACATAGACTCTTAGACCTATGAAATAATAAAAATGGACATAGAACATTTTGTTTACACATACTATGGCATTTTCTTAAACAAGTTATACCTTTTCAATGAAGAAAATACACAAAAATCCGATCGCAGAATTTCGTCAATAAATTAGCTGTAGCCGGTCGTCCCTAGAATAGAATAATTTTATTTCACCAATCAAGGGTCATACTATATGACATATATAATCACAAGCATAAAACACAAGGCATAAAACCAACAAATTGTGTATTGTATGGTAGAAATGAAGACAATAAAGTAACTAAGGCTTAATTCGTATTATTGGAAAAAACAAATAACACAGGCATAGTAATGTTAAAATAAGAAGTAAATAAATAAAACAGTATTTTAAAAAAACTATAATTACTCATTCGATATTCAAGTACAATAATATACATTTTATGGTCTGACAAATTTTTATTACTACTAGTACTACCTAACATAAGATTTCTTTTATTATAAATTTCGAGTAGGTATTTAGAAAAGACATTCAAGACTCTAGGGTCTTCCGAGGACATTAACCAAACAAATTTCTGCTTATTATTCAACATACAAAAGTTCTTATTTGATATTTCAATTTGTCTAAATAGTAGTTCTCTATTACTATCAAATTTTGTACAACACATGGAAAAATGAATTTCATCTTCTACAAGATTGGAAGAGCAACAGTTACAATACCTTTGATTTACTGGGATCTTTTTATATCTGCCTGTTTCTATATTCAATCTGTGTGCACTTACTCTGAACTTGGTGAAGAAAGTTCTTATATCTTTGTCCTTAATATGTCTAAAGTACACTTCTCTACAAAACCTTTGTTTAAACAAAGAGTATGTTCTAAGTTTCCCTTCAGTACCTGAGATATTCAAACACCAGTTGGTTTGGTACATTTTCACTAACTTGAGTTTAACAACATTTACTAAGTTCTTATTGGTTAAACCAGCATCAGATATACCTAAATGCTTAAAACAATGTTGTACACAAGAAACCCAGCAAACTTTATTATCCGTAAATAATGTTTGACTTTCAATAAAGGCAGCAGATAGTAATTTGCTAACATTTCCATTTAGCAGCCTTGGCATAACTACATATTACATCAATAAATAGTGGATACCGTCCTAGTTCACCGCATACTGCCTCATTTGATGTTTTTTTGTGTACACCCAGAATATATTTTAAAAATTTCACATGCATCTTATCACAGGACATATTTCCAAAGGATTTCAACAACACAAAACTGTTTTTTTAACAATAGAACTACTAATATTTGGTATACCCCAAATCTCACTACCATACAGAAGAATGGGTTTAATAGTATGATCAAAAAGATGGATGATAGTGTCAACATTTTGGTGTAGCTGACCAAAAACCTTACTAATCTTAAAACTTGCTTTCAGTGCTCTTTTATAAAGATCTTCTTGGCAGTAACTGAAAGTACCAGATGATGCAAAAATAATTCCGAGATATTTATAACTTTTAACATGAGTAACTTCAGTTCCCTTAAAGTAGAATTTCTCACTAGAAAGCCTTCCACTTTTACAAAAGGTCAAAATACTTATCCCTAGTAACGTACCGGAAACAGTTCAAAATCTTCAAGTGAAAATGGAAGCACGTTTTTCTAAGAAAACGGATCATAACTACAAAAATACATGGAATTAAACATCGTTAAAACAGTGACTTATATAATTATTTAACAATAACAATAGGATTTATAATCACAGGTAACAAGTGAAAGTGACAATTTCCCTCAGAAGTTAGATTGAGCTGCACATCGTGAAAATGGAGGATAGCAAGTTGGTTCAAATAAAAGCCCTGGGGTTTAAACTGGCCTTGCTCCGGGGGCCTATATACATGTGAGCTTCTTCAGGGCCATCATGGCCCTCTTGTCATTAGTAACACAGTAGAAATATGGTGATAAATGCTGCAAAATTCATCATATAACATGTTATATTAATATTAAACTCACTTGGATTTTGACATCTGTCCAACAATTTCGGTTAAGTTTTTCAAATAACCCTGTGGATATTGACAGAATTATGCCCTTTTTTTGAAATATAATTGTTCGTACCTCCTCACTTATTTCCTATACCTTTTGAGAATTTTTTATGCCCCCGCCATGTAATGGCCGGGGCATATAGTGTTACCCTGTTCCGTCCTTCCGTCATTCCGTCATCATCAGTTTCCGTTCATTATCTTAGTAACGGTTGCACACATTCAACTCAAATTTGACATATGGATATGTCATGAGAAAATACAGGTCAAGTTCGAATTTGGACATGGTTCGATGATTTTTGGCAGAGTTATGCCCCTTTTACTTTAAAATAATATGAAATTTTCAGTTTCCATTCATTATCTCCCCAACGGTATAACACATTCAACTCAAACTTGACATATGAATATGTCATGAGAAAATACAGGTCAAGTTCGAATTCGATGATGGTTCGATGATTTTTGGCAGAGTTATGCCCCTTTTACTGTGAAAATAATATGAAATTTTCAGTTTCGGTTCATTATCTCCCCAACGGTACAACACAGTCAACTCAATTTTGACATATGGCTATGTCATGAGAAAATACAGGTCAAATTCAAATTTGGTCATGGATCGATAATTTTAGGCAGAGTTATGCCCCTTTCACTTTGAAAATAATATGAAATTTTCAGTTTCCGTTCATTATCTCACTAACGGTATAACACATTCAACTCAAACTTGACATATGGATGTGTCATAGGAATGCGCAGGTCAAGTTCAAATATGTCATGTTTTACGCTCGGGTTTTACGGGGTGACTTAGCTCCAGAGACGGGTTTGACAATAGGTTTAATTTAGGGTTTAAGATGCGAGGCCTTTAGGCTAGCGTTCTGGAAAAGATGAAAAAGACAGTTTTAAACAGTTGTTCACGTTTAATGTCTGAAGTCCAAAGTAAGAATGTATATACAGTTACAAATATAAAATACAATTTGAAATACATAATAGTTTTTAACATAATAAAAACATATCACAACATATGTACTTATATTTGCAGACTGCAATAAAGGTATTTTAATTATAATGGGGAAAATAATAAGTTTTCATTTAATAAAATATAATAACTCGCATTAGCTAGTGAAAGGTACAATGTCATTACTTAAACTAAACAACTTTATATACTAGTATAAATTGCAAATTGCAAACTTATATACAAGTGTTTATTAATGTTATTGTCCTTTGTTATATTGTAAAAAAAATGAAACAGTGATCTTTACAATATTGTTGTAATTATTCACTTAATATTAAAATCTTCAATTATAGAAAAATCAACTTAACATATTTAACAAGAAAACATATTTACACAAAGTTTTTCAACTTTTGTTACTAAGTCTCTTTTCATAGATAAAAGGTAATAAAGACAGAATTTACAAACTGCCAGAAATTCATGTAATTATTAGATAGTTTAAAATTATGGTAAGCGATGGTTTCATTTATGATCCTTTGCCATTTTCATTAAATATGAAAACATTTGAGAATGCATACTAATACAACATAATAATTTCAAAAGTAGAAATTAAAATATAACACAGTTGCAAAAATTCAGATGATAAAAATTTTATAATGATTTTATAAACATAAAGTACAAATATTTAGAAAATAAAGTATCATATTTAGTTTAATTATTCTAAATTATACATTAGAAAATACAAAAATATCACAAACCTGGAAAAGATGAAAAAGACAGTTTTAAACAGTTGTTCACGTTTAATGTCTGAAGTCCAAAGTAAGAATGACTTCAGATCTGTCTTTTGGTATAAAAATCAGCTTTCTTTTCCCAGGAAGGATTATTGCAGTGCAAACACAGGAACTAGGGTTTCATACCTATCTTTGTGTTATAATCAATTAAGGGTCTGGTATTTTGCATAAGGGATTGACACTGCTTACTAAGATATGCCATTCTGGTAAGAGCTGATAAAACTACATTGTTAAGGATTTGGCTGTTTTAACACTTAAAGAATTTAAGCCAGCACATACATTTTTAGACAATAATAACCCAAGCTGACTTGATGGCTTGATGGCTTCTTTTACTAAGTTTTTATAGTAAAGTAAATTTGGCAAGTTTGAAAAATTAAGTACCAAATATATTACAATTAATGAAATGGAAATTATAAAACTGAAAAATATTTAAAGCAAAAGAATTTAAGAAAAATAGTAATATTCAAATTACCAAAATAAAATATATAATAGATATTACACTAGTTGTAATGGTAAATAAAATTACCCTAAAATTCTACCGGGATCGATACCCGGATTCTCCACCAGTTTTTACGCTCGGGTTTTACGGGGTGACTTAGCTCCAGAGACGGGTTTGACAATAGGTTTAATTTAGGGTTTAAGATGCGAGGCCTTTAGGCTAGCGTTCTGGAAAAGATGAAAAAGACAGTTTTAAACAGTTGTTCACGTTTAATGTCTGAAGTCCAAAGTAAGAATTTATATATACAGTTACAAATATAAAATACAATTTGAAATACATAATAGTTTTTAACATAATAAAAACATATCACAACATATGTACTTATATTTGCAGACTGCAATAAAGGTATTTTAATTATAATGGGGAAAATAATAAGTTTTCATTTAATAAAATATAATAACTCGCATTAGCTAGTGAAAGGTACAATGTCATTACTTAAACTAAACAACTTTATATATTAGTATAAATTGCAAATTGCAAACTTATATACAAGTGTTTATTAATGTTATTGTCCTTTGTTATATTGTAAAAAAAATGAAACAGTGATCTTTACAATATTGTTGTAATTATTCACTTAATATTAAAATCTTCAATTATAGAAAAATCAACTTAACATATTTAACAAGAAAACATATTTACACAAAGTTTTTCAACTTTTGTTACTAAGTCTCTTTTCATAGATAAAAGGTAATAAAGACAGAATTTACAAACTGCCAGAAATTCATGTAATTATTAGATAGTTTAAAATTATGGTAAGCGATGGTTTCATTTATGATCCTTTGCCATTTTCATTAAATATGAAAACATTTGAGAATGCATACTAATACAACATAATAATTTCAAAAGTAGAAATTAAAATATAACACAGTTGCAAAAATTCAGATGATAAAAATTTTATAATGATTTTATAAACATAAAGTACAAATATTTAGAAAATAAAGTATCATATTTAGTTTAATTATTCTAAATTATACATTAGAAAATACAAAAATATCACAAACCTGGAAAAGATGAAAAAGACAGTTTTAAACAGTTGTTCACGTTTAATGTCTGAAGTCTAAGTAAGAATGACTTCAGATCTGTCTTTTGGTATAAAAATCAGCTTTCTTTTCCCAGGAAGGATTATTGCAGTGCAAACACAGGAACTAGGGTTTCATACCTATCTTTGTGTTATAATCAATTAAGGGTCTGGTATTTTGCTTAAGGGATTGACACTGCTTACTAAGATATGCCATTCTGGTAAGAGCTGATAAAACTACATTGTTAAGGATTTGGCTGTTTTAACACTTAAAGAATTTAAGCCAGCACATACATTTTTAGACAATAATAACCCAAGCTGACTTGATGGCTTGATGGCTTCTTTTACTAAGTTTTTATAGTAAAGTAAATTTGGCAAGTTTGAAAAATTAAGTACCAAATATTTTTACAATTAATGAAATGGAAATTATAAAACTGAAAAATATTTAAAGCAAAAGAATTTAAGAAAAATAGTAATATTCAAATTACCAAAATAAAATATATAGATATTACACTAGTTGTAATGGTAAATAAAATTACCCTAAAATCTAGAGTGTAATACATGGTTCAATGATTTTTGGCAGAGTTATGCACCTTTCACTTTGAAAATAAAATGAAATTTACAGTTTCTGTTTATTTATCACCTCAACGGTACAGCACATTCAACTCAAATTTGACATATGGATATGTTTTTGGAATGCCCAGGCCAAGTTCGAATTTGGTCATGGTTCAATGATTTTTGGCAGAGTAATGCCCCTTTCACTTTGAAAATAAAATGAAATTTACAGTTTCTGTTTATAATCTACCCAACAGTGTTACATATTCAACTCAAATTTGACATATGGATATGTCAAAGGAATGGGCAGGTCAAGTTGGAATTTGGTCATGGTCCGATGATTTTTTGTCAGAGTTATGTCCCTTTCACTTTGAAAATAATATAGATACATCTTAGGAATAAGCAGTTTAAGTTTGAATTTGGTCGTGGTTCAATGATCTTGGACAAACTTTATAATCTTTCTTGAATGTTCGAAAAATTTTGACCTTTCAGTTTCAGCACTCATACTTTTGTGGAAATGTTTGTAGCCATTATTTTGGCTACAAATATGAAATATGCTATTTTCAAAAGGTTAAGACTGAATAATTTCAGTGCCTTGAACATTGTATGAAAATGGTTTGTGTTAACATTGAAAAGTTTTAAGGGCTTTGGACTTACAATGAAAAAAATAATTTGTGCGTACAAATTTGGAACTAATTATTATAACATCTGAAATTTGGCTGCATGCGGGGGCAACCGTGGCATGATAACACATTTCTAGTTTTAAATGATGTGCCCTGATAAGGAACTATTATCCAGACCTGGGGATGATTACATTGATCAGTAATTGATTTAATTACAATTACTTTCACATTTTATTGTGATTGATTATTATTGATTACTCAGACTTGCCTTTGTAATCAATTAAATTACAATTACTTTAAGACTTTGACTTTGAATAGAGTAATTGATTAATAATTGATTACATTCAATGTAAAGTAGAATCCCTTTTTTAGACCACCTCTGAATTAAGACCACCCCCTTATTAAGGCTATTTTTTACAAGGTTCTTTATGTCAATGGTTTCATGATCCAGAATAAAGAAGAACCGCTTTTCCACTTTAAAGACCACCTGATTCAGTTCAAATTCTTTGCTTTATTCTTAATTTGACCCAACTATTGAGACCACTGATATTAAAGGCAACACTTATCTAGATCTTAAATTTGTTGAACATTGTGATCTGATGACACTTAATTTCACAAGGTGTGAAACACTGTTATTATGGGATCATTGTATTTAATAAGGTGAGAAGGTAAATTTTAGAGTGGTTTATTGTTGCTTTCAGCAATTTTATTTTGTGAAGAATTAATTTTTATTTGATAGGTGATTTATATATATATTTTTTATTAGAGTCTCATCCATACATAACAACATAAAACAATTCAATTACATAAATTCAAAAAATAAAAGTTATCTATGTACCGCACTTCTAATCAGAATTACATTTTATTATTTATTTATTATGTACATCATATCATAATTGATATTGAAATCTGACCAAAGAGAATTTTATGTTAAATTTCTTCAGAAATATGTTTTCCTCTTATCAGATATCAAAGCATACTTTTATAGTGTCTTTTATATTGTATTTGTAGCTTAAGATACATACCATCTTTTTCTCATACAAAATGACTAAAACAGACCATGGTCATAGAGTATGTAAGCAATGATAAGACTATTCACAATTAAGACCACCCCACAATTAAGACCACTTTGGTCCAGCCTAGATGATGGTCTTAATCAAGGGCTTTTAATGTTTAAATGTAAAACAAAAGTTAAACTGTATAATGTGAAATAAAGGCATTATTTGAATTAAAATAGTTTCTTGTTAAATCCAAAAGTAATCAATGTCAATCAAATTGTAATCATAATTACTGACTAAATTTTAGCTGTAATTGATTAATTACAATTAAATTAATCAAATTTGGGTGAGGTAATCAATTACATGATTATTACATTGTAATCATGTAATCAATTAAAAATCAATGATTACAATTAATGATCCAGTGATAACACAAAAAGTACTGGAAATATTTTTATGAAACTTAACATATGGGTAGACGGCAGTCTTGAGATAATGCACGTCTTTTTCTTTTCTTCCTATGTTGAAAATTCTGGTTGCTATGGCAACAAATATGCTGAAAATATATGGCAAATTTTACACATAAACTGGATCCAGTGATAACGCAAAAAGTACTGGAAATATTTTTATGAAACTTAACATATGGGTAGATGGCAGTCTTGAGATAATGCAAGTCTTTTTCTTTTCTTCCTATGTTGAAAATTCTGGTTGCTATGGCAACAAATATGCTGAAAATATGGCAAATTTTATACATAAACTGGATCCAGTGATAACGCAAAAAGTACTGGAAATATTTTTATGAAACTTGACATATGGGTAGATGGCAGTCTTGAGATTATGCAGGTCTTTTTCTTTTCTTCCTATGTTAAAAATTCTGGTTGCTATGGCAACACATAGACTGAAAATTTGGCAAATTTTACACATAAACTGAATCCATTGATAACTCAAAAAGTACTGGAAATATTTTTATGAAACTTGACATATGGGTAGATAGCAGTCTTGAGATTATGCATGTCTTATCTGTTCTTCCTATTTTGATAAAATATCAGTTGCCTTGGCAACAAATAGGCTTAAAACATGGCAAATATAACAATATTTGTGATTAGTCAAAAAGAGCTGAAATTTTTTTATGAAATTGCATCTTTAATTCAAGAGTTATCTCCTCTTTAAGAATTTTGCTTTTAAAATGTTATATGTTGGTAACAGGGATGTTTCAAATATTAACTTTAGAGTGTCCTCAGTCCGTCTGTCTGTCTGTCTGTTCATAAAAACTGTTTCCTGTGATCACTTTTAAAGAACTTTTCCAACAAATTTACTTAAAATAGAGAAAAATTGAAACATTAGTGAATGGCCAATGGCCCTTCAGAATGTTGATGGGGTTCTAACCGGTAGGGGACTTATGGATTGCTTGCAATACTATGATAATTGCTTGTTTCCTAGAGTATTCATTGTATTTTGGCTTATAAAGCTAATACAGTTTTCATAACTTTCATGTTTCAAATGTAGCAGCTAAAAAACTTGACTGCAAATAAGAAATCTATAATAAAAATGGGTGTATCAATTGGGGTAAAGGTAGCATAAATAAGAATGGACTATAGACTGTTTTGTTTTTAGCACACCTATGGCAATGTGACATGTTGAGCTTTTATTACCACCTTTTGTCCGGCATCCATCCGTACACTTTTACATTTCATCATAAACTGCTACGCCAATTTTTAGCTCACCTGTTGCAAAGTGACAGGGTGAGCTTTTGTGATCGCTTTTCGTCCGGCGTGCGTCCGTCGTCCGTCCGTAAACTTTTACTTTAAATGACATCTCCTCATAAACCACTAGGCCAATTTCATCCAAACTTCACAGGAATGTTCCTTTGGTGGTCACCTTTAAAAATTGTTCAAAGAATTTCATTCCATGCAGAACTCTTGTTGCCATGGCAACCGAAAGAAAAAACTTTAAATATCTTCTTTTAAAAAACCCTATGAGCTAGAGCTTAGATATTTGGCATGAAACATCTTCTAGTGAGTGTCTACCAAGTTTGTTCAAATAAAAGCCCTGGGGTCAAAATTGGCCCCGCCCCAGGGGGTCATTGATTTTCCCTATATGCATATAGTAAAAACTTAAAAAATCTTCTTTTAAAGAACTCAAAGAGCTAGAGCTAAGATATTTAGCATGAAATATGTTCTAATAGGTGTCTACCAAGTTTGTTCAAATTAAAGCCCTTGGGTCAAAATTGGCCTTGCCCCGGGGGTCATTGATTTTCCTTATATGTGTAAAGCAAAAACTTAAAAAATCCTCTTTGAAAAAACCCAAATAGCTAGAGTTTAGATATTAAGCATAAAACATCTTCTAGTGAGTGTCTACAAAGTTTGTTCAAATAAAAGCCCTGGGGTCAAAACTGGCCCCGCCCCAGGGGTGTCATTGTTTTTAACTATATGTGTATAGTAAAAACTTAAAAAAAATCTTCTTTTAAAAAGCCCAATGAGCTAGAGCTTAGATGTTTAGCATGAAACATCTTCTTATGGGTGTCTACCAAGTTTGTTCAAATAAAAGCCCTGGGGTCAAAATTGGCCCCGCCCCAGGGGGTCATTGACTTTTCCTATATGCATATAGTAAAAACTTAAAAAATCTTCTTAAAGAACTCAAAGAGCTAGAGCTAAGATATTTAGCATCAAATTAAGCAAGCTTGCAACTAGCTTGTCGCAAGCTTGCAACTTAGCTTGCCGCAAGCTTGCAACTAGCTTGTCGCAAGCTTGTGGTGCCTTTCAAATCTAAATCATGCATTTTTGAAAACAGGCTGCAAGCTTCCCCCAAGCTTGCGGCAAGCTTGCCGCGAGGTTTCAATTTTAAGCTTTCCGCAAGCTTTATGTGCAAGCTTGCGACAAGCTTGTTGCAAGCTTGTCGCAAGCTTTTATAAAGCTTGCGATTTTGGTTTGGGTACTTAAATTACCAATATTACTGTAAACAATAGACATTTTAGAAAATTACTGAATAAAACACAATTATTTGTATTATTAATTATGTTGCAGGATATAAAAAGACTCAAGATAGAAGATTCTCCTCAACAAAAACAGTTAGAATATGAAAAGGCTAAATCAGGTATGTTATATAGAATATGAAAAGGTTAAATCAGGTATGCTATATAGAATATGAAAGGGATAAATCAGGTATATTATATAGAAAATGAAAAGGTTAAATTAGGTTTGTTATATATAATATGAAAGGGCTAAATCAGGTATGTTCTATAGAATATGAAAAGGCTAAATAAGGTATATTATAAGGAATTTAAAAAGGCTGTATAAGGTACAAAATACATGTATATTATGTAGAAAATGAAAAGGCAAAATCTGGTATGTTATATAGAATATGAAACGTTAAATTAGGTATGTTATATATAGAATGAAAAGGCTAAATCAGGTTTGTTATATAAAATGTCAAAAAGCAAAATCTGGTTTGTTTCTATAGAATATGAAAGTTTAAATTAGGTATGTTATATATAGAATGAAGGGGCTAATAAAATTTTAATCAGACAAGGCTAGATATCAGGTATGTAAAGGCTAAATAGGTATGCTTCATATAATATTATAAGGCTAAAACAGGTGAATTTTGCCCGAATTGTGATAATTTTATCATATATCTTTGTATTTAATTTATACTTTTACAAAACAACACTTACTACAAAATCATCATTTCAATGTAAGGGAACTCTCTAGTTTGTGAGGGAATCTTGTAATGTTAAGATAATTTGTGAGTTTTGCTTTCAATAAATTTCAGGTTGTCGTACTCAATTGATAGAACATTATCGCAGTGACGTACTTAAAGTATCAGCAATACCTTTACAACCAGATGAGGAAAATTATAATTTCAGTGACGTTTATATTAGACCCACTATAACAAGCAAGATAGAAAAGAATAGAGGGGAGTCTGAGGAAAAAGAAATAGAGTCTGAGGAAAAAGAAATAGAGTCCATGTCAGAGATTTTCACAAAGAACGGGGATCCACAGAAATTTATTTATGTTGTTGGAGATGCAGGGTCTAGTAAGAGTAGTTTCTGTAAATATTTGATCAACTGTTGGTGTATGGCACACAGTGATGGACACAATGAAAATGATGAGTTTGAAGGAGTCAAGGAAATGAAGGAATTTGATTTCATGTTTTATATTTCTCTTAGACATAACATAAATATCCGAAGTATCCAGGAAATGCTTGAAATGCGATATGATAAGATAAAAAATTTAAGTAAACTTCTGGAAAATGATTCTGAAAAGATAATTATTTTGCTTGATGGTTTAGATGAATGGTCTTTTGACAGTGAGACTAGGAATGAGTTCCAGGCAGGCCTTCCGGAACGTGACTTTACAAAGAAATACACCATTGTTACTACATCACGGCCATGGAAAATTCACAGTTTGAGAGTAAGTAAAAGAGAGATTCATCAATTATTGAAATTAAAAGGGTTTGATAAAACACATGAAAAAGAAATGATTAAGAAAACAATAACAGCATTGAACGAATCATTAGATCCTAATGTGTGTGAACAAAAGCTTAAGGTACAGTCTCTGGTTGGCCTGAAACAGGTACCAATTATGCTGCAGCAATTGATTTGTCTATGGTGTGATGGTAAACTCGATAAAACCTCAAGGTGTGCTATTTATACTGGTATGTTAGAACTTTATTTCACCTGGAATATCAATAAAACTTTAGGAAATAATACAGAATGTATGGAAAGTTCTCAGAATGTTAAACTCCCTCAGTATTTAACAGATGTAGAGATATGTAGATTAAATAGTCATCTTATATATGGTGTGTCACGCTTGGCTTATGAGACATTGTTCAATTATCCTAAGGATAAGTCCTTAACATTTGACAAATCTGTGTTTGATGATTTAAAAATATCACAAGATGTGCGACAAACATGTCTGAAACTGGGGATTTTGACAGAAGATAAATGTCCTTCTTTTTCTGTATCCAAACCTAAAAGCTCATTGTTCTCTTTCATTCACAAATCAATGCAAGAATTTCTGGCTGCAGTGAATATTGGTATAAATTTCAATGCAAAAATGTGTTCATCAGATAGTACAGGAAATGTTGAATTAGTCAAAAAGTTTATTTGTGAGGTTTTTCGGAATTGTTCAACAGTAAATGACATATTAGAGCAGTCAAATGTCATCATTATGCTATATGGTCTAGGATCTAGATTAGCAACTCATGTTTCAAAATACATATATGATACTGTGTGAGAAGACTCTCGTGTTCAAGAATACAGGAAAACAATAAGTCAGGACATTTATAATAACATTAGTAGGGATCATGATTGTATTACTGATATTCAAAAGCTTATGTTTGAGTCAATGGAAGAATTCAATGCAGCATGTAGTATCGGAAATAATCCTGTGTTTTATATAGGAGATTTGGTCATTGATGATAGTGGTGATTGTGATATTGTTTGTTCAGGTATTGATCAGAAACACATTGTTCCTGACTCTGTTTTGTCTATTTATGTAGATTCCATCAACACAAAAAATGTTACATTTACAAAATATTTGCCAATGTTTCATCATCTTGAAAAAATTGCAGTAACATATGGCCCTACCTCACATGGATCACAAAGTGATAGAACACAAAGTAATGAACAGAGGATTGATGAGGTAAGCAATTGTATTTCTGAGACAATTAAAGTAAATACTTTAACATTAAAATCTCTGTCTCTTGCTGGTGTCTTTTACACTGACACGTATTACCCAGTGTATAAAACAGTTGTTAGTTACCTACATAGTATGATCAATCTTGTAGCAATACGTATGAATGGTATAATAATGAGTCATGGTGATACTACTACATTTTGTAATTTTCTTGAGAGAAACAGTCATCTTGAACAAATACGTCTTCATATTGTTAAATGTGAGTGTGGAAACCAGCATGATATAAATTTATCAAAACATCAACAACTTCAGTACCTTTATTTATATGATACTGTTAGTGTGATAGATGCTGATACTACAAACCTTCAAATATTTACATTTAATGAATTGAAAGATAGTAATTGTGACAAAATATTTGATATTATTAAAAAATCTAACAAATTAAAAGAACTTAAATTGTATGGAGATGAATACAATATATCTGAATTATTTCATACCAACATAACAAAGAGACTTCTCACAGTATTAGCATTGTTACACAATCTCAGTAAGCTTGTGTTAGGGTATTGTAGGGTATCTGACAATATAATACAGTTACCTTTAGAGATGAAGAGTTTAAAGAACATTAGGCTTGTTGTTGTCATAATGAGTTTGACAACATGGCAGAAGTTTGTTGATAGTCTTCCTGGTATTCCTCATACTGTAGATGTGAGTGTAAAGGTTTATGATGTAAAGGGAAATGATGCTATACAGTATGTAAAAGATCAGGATCAGTTATTTCATGTTAAACGTGATGATGGTTATTGGTTTCTATTTTCAACAAAAAAGTGATAAAGTATACAGGTAGTATTTATACTAAATTATTGCATGTTAAAAGAGATGATATTTGATTTTTTTCATTTTTGACAAAAAAGAAATGATCTGAAAATTTAACATAGTGAGAGAGAATACATGCAGTTAACATAGTGCTTAATTTAAATTATTTCATGATAAAAGACATAATTATTAAAATAAACATTATTAGCAAAAACAGTGAAATATAAAAAAATTAAGGTAACTGTTTTTTTTTAAAGATTAGGGATAGATTGCGAAAAGTATGATTTGAAAAAGTAATAGGTTCTAATTATAAAAAAAATTAATAGATAAATATATTAGCAAGTTAATAAATTAATGAATAAGTAAATTTAATAAATGGAAATATCATAAAACAGATGTTTAATGTACAAGGTCATAAAAAGTAAAAGATAAAGATAACATTCATATACCAGTTATATTATATAATATATGATAGGATAAGGGAATGGTATATATCAATACCAGTTATATGATATATAGGACAAGGGAATGGTATATATATCAATACCAGTTTTATGATATATAGGACAAGGGAATGGTATATATCAATACCAGTTATTTGATATATAGGACAAGGGAATGGTATATATCAATACCAGTTATATGATATATAGGACAAGTGAATCGTATTTATAAATACCAGTTGTATTTAGGACAATGGAACGGTATATATAATACCAGTTATATGATATAGAGGGCAAGTGTTTTGGTATATAAAAATACCATATATTATATATTATATGTTAAATATGCAAAGGAAATGGTATATATCAATACCAGTTATAAGATGTAAAGGAAAATGGAATGGTATAAATAAATACCAGTTATATGTTATATAAAGCAAAGGAATGTTATATGTAAATTCCTGTTATACAATATTTAGACAATGGAATTATTTATAATCAACACCAGTTATATGATATATAGGACAAGTAAATTGTTTTTCATTGTTGATGAGGACCATTTACATGTTATATTTTAGACATTCCTTCTTTGATCCTGTTTTATATTGTAAAGATTGTAAAAATTTACAAATTTATAATAATTGCACAACGATTCATGGTGTACAAGTTAATACTGTTATAAATATTACTCAAATTTGTATAGTAAAAGGGACTCCACTGAGGATTTTATTATATTAATTGTTTTGACGGGTAGTTATGTTGTTGATGTTCATACTATTTAATGAAGAGTTTCATTTACTTTTCATGTAAAGAAAATTGTATGCAATAATTTCAGATTATTTGCTCACTTAGTTTTTCCAAAATACTAGTAATCAGTTGCCGCTTTTTACCTCGGCTTATTCAATAAATAGCTTAATGGCTATAATATACCAGTACTATACGCGCATGTGGCATTTTCAAACTATAGGTTACTATTTATTTCCATTTTGTTGAAGTTAGATCAATATCTAGCATCTTATCCATCCACTGTGGATAGTCAAGCACATTGGTGTTTAAACTGTTTATAGCTAAAGTCCTTCTGAAAAATTACACGTTTCATTGATATCGAGTTTTCAATTTATATTTCGTAGTTATTATTTCTTTTGAGTGTATCATATTTTCCGCGTTATTGAATATCCCGATTAATCTATGTGTATTTGGTCTTTTCTAATTTTTTATTCTTTATTGTTCTGGCTTTATGACCTCAGTTGGAGCTCTGCTTTAAGTGAACTAATTGTTGTTCTTTTTTATTTGTTCAGAGAATGATAATTTTAAACACTAGGCAAGATAGATATACCTTGCTGTAAAATTATATTGTAACTTCTAGTATATACTGTAACTACATAGACAGTATAACATAATTTTTAATCAAAACATGTTACCACACCATAGATGTAAATATGAATTTTAGCTCGCCCTCACCTGTCACAAAGTGAAATAGTGAGCTATTGTGGATCGTTTTTGTCCGGCGTCCGTCCGGCGTAAATTTGTACTTTAAATGACATCTCCTCATAAACCCGCTAAGCCAGTTTCATTAAAACTTCACATAAGAATGTTCCTTTGTTGTCAACTTTAAAAATTCTCCAAAAAAATTTAATTCATACAGACTCTGGTTGCCATGGCAACCGAAACAAAAACATAAACATTTTCTTATAGATAACTCTGAAAGAGCTAGAGCTTAAATATTTGGCATGAAAACATTGTCTAGTCAGTGTTCTACCAAGTTTGTTCAACATAAATTCCCAGGGGTCAAAAATAGGGGGGGGGGTTCATTGATTTTCCTTATACATACCAGTTCTCAGCTGCCCTTTGGGATATATACCAGTTCTTAGCTGTCCCTTATGGATATATAACCAGTTCTCAGCTGCCCTTTGGGATATATAACCAGTTTTCATGCTGCCCCTTGGGGATATATACCAGTTTTCGCTGCCCCTTGTGGATATATACAATTCTCAGCTGTCCCTCAGGGATACTATACCAGTGCTCAGCTGCCCCTTAGGGATATATACTAGTTCTCCAGCTGTTCCTATAGAGATATATAAATACGTTCACAGGTGCCCCACGGGGGCTACAAACAAGTTCTCAGCTACCCCTCGGATAAGTTCTTCGGCATGGGATATATACCTGTTCCTTGAACTGCCACTTGGGAGGAGATATATATAAATTCTCGACTACCTCCCCAGTGGGGGGGTTTCCCAGTTTTTATCATAAGTCAGTTCTCAGTTGCCCCCCAGGATATAATAAGTCTCAGCTATACCTGAGGGGATATCATACCAGCTCTCGGATGCCAATATGCTTCTCTCACACAGACAGCCATGTTTTTATAAGTTTATATACTATCAGATGTTTATGTTCATAGATAATTTCTGTAACGGTTGAATTTCTAATTTTTTAATTATACAATTTGTCAAATTTTAGTACTAAGATATGGTCACATTATAGGCATGGAGTTATATTTCTGCCTGATGTCAGACATAATATGCATTATGTGTAGTTTACATGTATTGTAAAACATATGTTACATGAATTACCCAAACTGTATGTTGAAAATCTTGTTTTTTAAAATGCAATCCAGGGTAACAACCAATGCATACTCGTTGTGTATTTTCAATTCGTGATGAATGTAGTTCAGTCAAATCTGTATGTATGGGTTCGGATCGACGTTAATGCTTTCAGACAATAATGATATAACTACATCTTAATTTTAAAGCGTATGTCAGCTTTCTTTTTTGTTTGCTGATGTTTAGTATATTACCAAGTTTAAGATATGTTATATATAAACATATTTACACATGTCTGTTTGTTACATGATATTCTGATTGAATGTATATGAGTTACATAATATTACATGTTAAAGGGACTCCACTGAGAATTCTTGACATTGCCGGAGACTGGAAATATTTTTTTGAGATTATTACTGTATTTGATGTAGATCTATTCTAATAACCTATAAGCAAAATTTCAGATCATTAGCTCGCTCCCTTTTTCCAGAATTATTATTATAATAGTGAAAAATGACCCAAAATTGAAAAGTGTTTAAACGCTTTTCAATCAAATCGGACTGAGAATAGCACAAACATACAATTTTCAATGTATTTTTGTAGTATATTTCTTGTTTATATTTAATTCTTATATTTCTGTTTTAAAGTGCTCATGTTTTATTTATGTGAAAATTAGAATGTTTATGTTTTTTAGGCTTAATAAACCCCAGTGGATTCCTTTAATATTGTTAATTGTATAATCACAAAGCTATTGCAATCCTTTTATGAAAATAAGATTATATTATTTTTATAACAAGTTATGTTATGTGA